GTAGAGAAAGGAAAGGTGGCGCTTCAAAGTTATCTTGCGCCACGGCCTCACTAAAACATCAGACACCGAGGCGTTAGGACAACGATCCAAATCTATGCACGAATCCAAAGCCTAGCACTCAACCTTTCCCTTTTCCCTTTTCCCTTTTCCCTTTGTTTTGCGTTTTCCCTTACCGTCGCCACTGCATCTACCCCAAAACACGACTATAGGGACCTGGCACGTGGCAGAGTAGGCCGTGCTACCCCCGCCCTTTCTCTATCACGCAAGGCAAATCTGGCGGTCACTTCAGCTACTGACTGGCCCGCTGTAAGGCAGGGCACCGACCCTGTGCGGTACCACTGGGAAGCCCAGTAACGCGGCCTGTCGATTCTGCATGACCCTGCGGACTGGTACCGGGTCTACAGCGAAGGTATGCGGGCGTACACAGCGGTGAGTGAGGATGTACGGTACGCAGCGGAGGGCCGGGACACCGAGCCCTCCGACAACGCGTCAGAAGATGTCTGGTGGGACCAGAGGACACTCGTCAAACTGCAAAGGATATTCTGCAGACCTATGATGTTGCAGTTAAAAAGAGTGCACCACCCCAGGTCACATTTTGTCTCGGACGACCTCGCATTCAGGAGGTTGGGAGTGCAAGAACCCACAGTTCCGAAGCAACCCGCGAGTCATACCATAAATGTAAATAATGGAAACTTTTATGTGTTTTCAATTTTGTCTTTGTTACTCCGAAAATTGTTTGTTTGTCCTTGTTTGTTTTCACAATTGTCTTCAGCAAGTCCAGTTTCTGCCATTTCCACTACAGGAATATGTTGACAAATATTTTGCTAAGGAGGAGTTGGCATCATCCGCTAGGCCAAAAAAAAAAAAACCGGGTACCAGACATTCCCCTCACTTTTATACCCTGTTCAAGGAACTATGCAATGAGAACACGAACAAACCAGATTGCGAAATCTCAGAGAAGACCAAACATGATTGAGCCGGGTTGAAATCACCTTGCCGGCCTTCACTTAGGGCCAGCATGAAAATCACAGGCCCGACCTTCTCTTAGGGTGGCCTGGCCTTGTTGCCGAGGGGCTGAAACTGCCAGCTGAGGCCAAGAACCCCACACCTGCCTGGGAAGAGGAAAGATACAACAGTACCAGCTCATGAAACATTTTATCCGGGCCCAGTTCCTGAAATAAGCCGGGAACAGAGGCCAGCTGAAACATTTTATCCGGGCCCAGTTCCTAAAATAAGCCGGGCCCAGAGGCCAGCTGTTTGACTGGTCGGGAAGTATGTTGGCCCAGCCAGTCCAGTCAAACAGACATCGGTGAATGCAGCTAGACTGCTTGAAAGCAGACTGAAGGATGTCACACCTGGGCTCCCTTGACTTCCATTAGAGAAACTCATGCACTTGTGCCCCACTGCAGTAGTAGTGGGAGTGATGTCAGCCCATCAGGGGGAAAGGAAGTCAGTAGGTGGCTGATACTCGGTGGTTAGACACCACGGTGGAGTCTGGTGAAGTAGAGGAGAGGGGAGAGGGACTCGGACACTGTTCTTTGAGGCAGTTTCTCCATTGTTTATTGTTGGTGTGACAGTGAAGCATGTACACTTTCAAACTGTGATAATAACTTTGCAGAAAGCGTTGAGCAAGAAGGAACAGTGGCAACCGACGGGCCTAGCTCAGTTAGTACACCCTCAAACTGTTGAAACACAGAGCTGAGTTCGAATCCCAATCCAACTCGATGAACAGAATTCCTGAATTACAAGGGGCCGGTCACTTTCACGATGATATCTAAAGGCTGTCACCCTTTTTTAAGAGAAAAAAGAAAAATGACAGAAAAATGGCGCAGTTGAGTATACTTTACTATAAATGGGGGTTCAATGCAGCCAAGGCATGCCAAGGGCCACATGACTAGACAGTAAACTGTGTAAAATATACCTCAACAAGATCACCACCTTGAGAAATGAAAATGGGATCCAGGTTGCCCATCCTGGGACATTGTACAGCATTTGAGCAGGACTTGACAGCAATCCATGAACAGAGATCCTCCTGCTCATCACCTGTGATAGCCATTGAGATGGGATGACAAATCATGATATATATGTGGGGTGAAACGAAGGTAAAAGATCACTTACCTGCAGCCCGCGATATACATTTTATGCAAAAGCGATCTATGCGAACAAAGGGTGGAATTGAACGCCGTAATTCCTGCATCACACCTGCCATCACCTACTGCCCCATCACAGCACAGGCACACAAACACCATAGAATGTTACCACATAGTGACAATTAGTGAGCCAAATTACAAGGCACACCAGCACGAGATGCTACACCGCATTTAGAACCTTACCTAATTAATGATCCGTCTGGCATCAGACTACCGGTAGACAGGAGTGGGCTTCATCTCGTCATAGTTGTCATTTTAGCTGTGTGTTTAATATATCTGATTAGCATTTTCATATAAAGGGGCATAACTTCGCATAAGGCAAAATTATCAAATGATTAAAGTCATCGGTACCTCCTTCCATCAACCTATTCTGGCCCTTGACCTCTCCGAGCCCTTCCCTTCTCAAAATACTACTACTCCCCTTCATCACCTCCTCATTCTATTATGGCCCTCCGTTATCCTCTCCAAGCCCTTTTCCTGCTCGCCTGCCGCTTCTTTATTATATCCTCAAGTTTCTTCATTCCCCTTGTCTCCCCCAGGTTCTTATGCGCCAACTTCAGCTTCCGCTTTCTGTTGATAATGACCTGATGAAAGACGGACAAAAGAGTCTGTCACAGCATTTCTTTCTACTCGCGTGAGTTCTCTGGCACACAGACAACTGAGGAGGAGGAGGAGCATGCAGAAGTTTCAATATGTCCCATCAACCATCATTCCTCATGCAGAAGAGACGAAATACATGCCCATAGTTGTAGCACTCCCAACCGGATCACAAAAACATCTTCTACATCACAGTACATTTACCACCATACCTCAACACCTTGTCTTCATCCTGGGTATCTGTCCAACATGCAGCGGCGACTAACTCTTCCAGTCTACTCTCTAACCTAGGAGTGGTATTTAGAACGTACGTTCTGCTCTACTCTATGTATTGCACCTCCTAGAATGAGAGGAAAATTCAAGAAACTCTAGCACAAGTTCACAGTGAATGGCACTGCCTGCAATTAGTCCTCTATGTAGTGAACGGGATCTCTTGCCGTTCACAATGATCTAGGCAGCGGGCCACTTTTGACTTGCTTATCATAGGCCATTCATTGGGTCCCAAAGCTTCTACTGCACCAGGCTTACATGTTAGCAATGCAAAATCATGCCAAATTAGAATGGATTGAGCACATTTGCCGTCACTCCCGAGCCTGACAGTTGGGGCAAGGCTGACTCTGAATTTGAAACACATCCTTTTTCTTTTCCAAGTCCATCAGGGCTACCATTGTGGGTGATATGAACATCCCGCAATATTGCCCTGGTGAGGACTGCTCCAGTCTATTGGTGGGGAGCGTCACCTGCTGGAAACCGGGTCCAGCGTCCCATTATACAATTTGCGGTGGATCGAGTCCCTCGAGATACCGCTGAGGTGTTGTCCTTCTGCCGATGGTTTTGCCTTCGAATTTGATAGCCGCCAGATAGAAAGAAGCATCCCTAGCGGAATCGCCTTTAGTCACCCGTTGCCAAACCATTGTCGATCCACCAGCGACGTTGGTGTGGAGGGAACATATCCCTTGTTTGAGTGTTTGTAAAATTAGCAGGTCTTCCCATGGGTCTTCAGCGGTTGCTATTCTATGCCAGAAAGGCAGGAGCCCCAAAGTGACAGCAAACCTAGATGCCAATCCCCACTGGATTATGTCTGGTTCCTTGAGACCGCTTGGTGGGGTTTCCCTTAAAACTTCCAGAAGGGCATCCCTGAAGGTTTTCCATTGCAGCAAGATCTTTGGTAGCATAAACAGGCCGAAGCCTTCAGATTATTGGTCAACATGTACATCTGTATAGCATTCAGCTAATAGTGAAGGACGCCACCGGGGAGAGTAGACTGACCCCTGTGATGGCATGACAAACATACAAAGCAAAAGGGAACAATCCAGTCATAACTTTATAACAAGAGTCCGCTGTTCCATGCCACAGACACAGAAAAGAGGGAGGAAATTGGCAGAGCCATTTTGTTACCTGGTCCGTAAATGCCCTGAGAACAAGAACAGCACTTCTGTCCTTCGGTGTTTCCTGATAACAAACACAAAACCATTGTTTTCAAGAAAAAAGGTTCATGTATTAGAAAGTAGTCAATCTAACTTATTAGATAAACAAGTGGAGGCGAGCCATGGTTACATCACAGCACACAAATGGGGAATGGGGTCAACAGAGGTGGGCCGGAGCTGCTAAGGGGGATGAGGGTCTTCCGTTTTCAATCTTATGAAATCCTCTCTCTCTCTCTCTCTCTCTCTCTCTCTCTCTCTCTCTCTCTCTCTCTCTCTCTCTCTCTCTCTCTCTCTCTCTATCTCTCTCTCTTTTTCTCTTTCTTTTTTTTTTTTTTTTTTTTTTTTCTCTCTCTCTCTCTCTCTCTCTCTCTCTCTCTCTCTCTCTCTCTCTCTCTCTCTCTCTCTCTCTCTCTCTCTCTCTCTCTCTCTCTCTCTCTCTCTCTCTCTCTCTCTCTCTCTCTCTCTCTCTCTCTATCTATCTATCTATCTCTATCTATCTATCTATCTATCTATCTATCTATCTATCTATCTATCTATCTATCTATCTTTTCAATTCAAGATGTATTCTCTGTCTGCCATGGCTACGCCCGCGGCACAAAGGGGGGAGGGGCACGGCTGATGTACCTGGCTCGCAAGCAGAAGTGAGGGTCGCATGGTGGGGGGAAGGCAATGTTTTGTCCTTTTTTTTTCCCGTTGGTGGCCCTATTTTTCCACGATGACCTTAGGGCAGCTCAATGGACTATTCCCACTGACAGGACGGCACCATCGCCACCCTGAACATGTAGGCCGTACGTCTGCCAACTCAGACAATCCTGAATGCACCTGTGTGTATTCCCACTATATTCGTTCGGACATATCCTTTGCGCAAGTCCTTGCGCCCATATTGACAGCCATCCCTGTTGCACAAGCAATTGTGTCAGCTGTGCATCAGACCTTTTGATACACTACGAAGATTGAAGGCCAAAATCAGCACGAGTGGGACATTGACCAGTCAGCATAGACTTCAGATGCTCAGCTCATCCTCATGGCTGGAGCAGAAAGGCATATCAGAGCAGAAAGTTTCTACATCCAGAAAGGGGAAACAAAATCTTGTCATGTTTCTACATCCACAAGAGAGGAGAGGGGGGACCTTTGCAACGAAAATTCGCATCGACAGCACGGGCATGTCCTGCTGTACCATTTAGGATTTGACGTTGTGACCCATTTATCAACAGCTACATGTGTGTACCATTCAGGAACAACAAAAATCTAGAAGGCGAGAAAACAAAAACGAGCATCCCAATTTAGGATGGCCCCTGCGCAAGGATGACACACATAAATCGAGAAATGGTAAAAAAAAAACAAGCGTCCCCTGCAAAACCTCATTGATACCACTGAGGCAATTCTTCCACCACCATTCAAGACTGGAGCTAATGAGCTGTTTACTGACGGCTATGCTATGCAACTGCTTGAAATCGGCAGGACCAGGACCAAGAAGAGGATAGGTGGTTCCATAAGGACCAGTTAAGTGAGACAGCACCAAGAATAGTCTCCTGTGAACAAGCCAGAGGGGGTATTCACATTGCAGACCGATAGCTAAAGCTTGTAGCTCCTCTGAGGACCTCAAAATTAGGCCTGCAGGAGTGAAAGGATTTCACGCGTCTTAGAAATCTCATTCCCAGTTCCAAGTTCCAGCGATATATGTAACATAGTCCCAACTAATAGGAGTCCTAGGCCCGTTGTACAGAAGCAGGTAGGCCTGGTAGGTCTGTTTGACGTAGGCCAGTACCATAGCACTCGGGTAGGCCCAGTTCGTCATTTGCTGGTAGGTGTCAGTCTGTCAGTCCAAAAAGCAGCTCAGTCTTAGGAAAGCCCGTAAGCATTCCAGAAGCATCAAAAACAGACCATGGCCGCCAGGCGAAAGTGTACCGGTCCAGAAAGATCCAAATGGGGGACCTGTAGCAAGTACAAAAGGCCGGCATCACCAGAAGTCAACGCAATTTCCATTCATGCCTAGCCCGGAAGCGCTGTTGTGCAGGAAGCAGCTAGTGAGGCTGAGAGACAGAGTAGTGTAGTCGATGGTGCCCAGCACGATAGCTGATGGCAAGAGAGAGTGAGGTTGAGGGAAGACATTCAGAGAGTGTGAGCGAGGTCTGAGAGAGAGAGAGAGAGAGAGAGAGAGAGAGAGAGAGAGAGAGAGAGAGAGAGAG